ATCATCATTTTTAATGGCTATACAGTATTCCACCATATGGATGTGCCATTTTTTTATGTAATCCTTAAGTACCCATTGCATGATGGACATCACCATTTCTATTTTTCTACTCTTCACTCAACAAATATTCACTGAGCACCTATTATATGCCAGCTACTGTTCTCTAAGTTCCAGGGACACAGTGATGAACAAGACAGGCAAAGTCCCCGGGGAAATTCTACTGGGGGAGACTGACAGTAAGCAAGTAAACAGCAGATAATTTGAAGGAAGGATAAGTGCTAAGAAATAAAGACATACCTTCTTAGAGAAGGACTAGCTGTCAAGAGAATGGACTACTTTAGGTGCAGTGGTCCAAGAAGGCCTTCCTGCAGAGAGCACATCCGAACACAGACCTGGGATTGTCACATTAAGAGTGAAGCATTCTAGGATGAGGAGACACTGAGCACAAAGGCCCTGACACAGGAAGGGGCCTGGCCTATTCACGGACTTGCAGGAAGGCCAATGTGGCTTGAGGGCAGTGAGGGACAAAATGGACTAACACACAAGTGTTGAGATGATTCCAGAGAAACTGGAGTGGGAGCCGGCAAGGCAGACTCTGTAAGTCATGGAGTTTGGATTTTATTTTAAGTGCACCGTGAAGTCAATGGAGAGCTTTCAGCGGGAACAAGATATGATCTGACTTACATTTTAAAAGATCACTCTGGCTACAGTGTGGAGAATGGACTACCGGGAGGTGACAAATGAGCAGAGAGACCAGTAGATGTTTCCTTACCCAGGGGAGAGAAGATGGTACCTTGGACAGAGCTGCTAGAAAAAGGTGGTTGCCAGGTCTGTGGCTTGAACACTTTGGGGGACGGGGACAAAAAAATGGGAGAGGAACCACTTTGAGTGCACAGATCCCACACACATTCCATTAGATTTACATGTAAGTATTTTGGTTTCGGAGGGGCTGCTGTTAATTTTTTCTAATTTTTAATTTTTAATTATTCATTACTAGTATATAGAAATATAATTAATTTTTTATGTTTTGACCTTATATCCCATCATCTTGCTAAACTCAATTATTAGTTCTAGGAGGGTTTTTTTTGTAGATTCCTTGAGATTTTCTATGTGGGCAATCATGTCACCTATGAGAAGGGTCAGTTTTACGCCTTCCTTTCCAATCTGTATTCTCATTGCTCCTTTTTCTTGCCCTACTGCACTGGCTAGGACTTGCAGGAGTGGTTCCTGATCTCACAGGGAGAGCAGTTTCTCACCATGAAGTATGCTGTTTGCTGTGGGTTGTTTGGAGATGCCTCCTATCCAGTTCATGAAGTTCCCTTCTAAGTTTACTGAGAGTTTTTATCAGGAGTAGATGTTGAATTTTTGTCAAATACTTTTTCTTCACCAATTAACAGATAAACCCCACGTGGGCACCAAATCTGGGGAGGTTTAGCCATTATTCCTTTGTGTGTCTCTTCTGCACTGCACTATTCCTTCTTCTGGGTTTCAACAGCAGACAGTAACCTTCTGGTATTGCCCCACACGTCACTGAGGCTCTGCTCGACTTTTTTTTTTCTTTTGTTGTTCACACTGGATAATTCCTATTGCTTTCCTTTCAAGGTCATTGATTCTTTCCTCTTTGTCTCTATCTTGATATTGAGTCCCTTCAGCTGGGTTTTTAAAAATTTCAGTATTGTATTTTTTTTCTTTATTTCCATTTGGTTCTTTTTTTTATCTTTTTAATATCTTTTTTTTTTGCGGGGGAGGGTCTAACAGTTTCTATCTTTTTTATTTCAATGCTGTTTGCTCTTATTTTGCGGAGCATTTTTATAGTAGCTACTTTAAAGTCATTGTCAGATTATTCCAACATCTGTGTTGAGATGTTCCTGGTTCTTCACATGATAAGTAATTCTGGATTATACCTTGGATATTTTGAATATGAAGTTATGAAACTTTAGGTCTTGCTTAAATCCAGTGGAGAGGGGCGCCTGGGTGGCTCAGTCAGTTAAGCGTCTGAGTCTTGATTTCAGCTCAGGTCATGATCTCAGGGTCCTGGGATCGAGCCCCGTGTCAGACTCTGCACTTAGCAGGGAGTCTGCTTGAGGATTCTCTCTCTCCCTCTGCCCCTCCCCCTACTCACACTCACCCTCTCTCTCTAAAATAAATAAATCTTTAAAAATAAATAAATAAATAAATAAATAAATAAATAAATAAATAAATCCAGTAGAGAATGTTGACATTTTTGTTCTACCAGACTCTCAACCAGGTTGGATTTAGGTGGCAAGTTCTGACCAGCCTTCCACGGGCTGTGGTTTCACTGTCAGCTCCAGTTCCAAAGCCTACCTAGGTGTGTCCTCTGTGGGCGCCACCCACTGTCCAGTCTGGGACTCAGGCAGTGGTCTATCTTTCAGATCAGTTCTCAAAGTCTTTGGTATGTTGGTTAGAATCCAACACATGCATGCACAGCTCAGGGGTTATAACACCCGTAAGGTTTTAAGTAACTTTCCGGAATCACTTTCCTGAATTCTTCCCTCTGTTTTCTCCTTGCACCATCCAGTTCACTAGGCTTCCCCTTCTTGGTTCTCTGGCCTCAAAGCTGGGAACTTAGTTACCACATTCTGCCACACACTTCTCAAACTGTACCCAAATCCAACCAGCAGGAAGGCAGAGGGAAAAAAAGCAACCAATTTCACCCCACCCTCCTGGGATTATACGTCCTCTGATCAGAGAGGAAGGCTTCCCTCCTTCAGTTTTAGGTGCTTGAAGACCCCATGCTGCCACTGACACCACCACCACCACCACCACTACTGTGGGACTGCCTGGGGACTAAGGCACGAGAGAACACAGGAAAAGACAACCCCTGGAAGACTTCCCCTCTACCTGAGCCTTAGAGCCCCTTTCCCACCCCCGAGCCCTAACTAGAGGTCTTCTGAAATTCCCTCTGGTTGTGCCCTGATGTGCACTGCTGGAGTCTAGGACATGGGACACCAGGGGAAAAATGAGAAATTCATTGCCAGTGTGGCAGCACTCTTAATTCTAGTCTTTTTCCCCAATCTGTCTGCTACCATTCATATTTCAGAGTCCTCAAATAGCTGCTAAATGCACCTGTCCAGGCCTTTCGCTGCATCCAATGACAGAGACTCTTGTACATGTATCTTGTACACATATCCTGGTACATATGGAAGCATCCATTTATGTAGGGAATATAGCTATGAGAGGAAAAGCCAGGTCATGAGGTATGTGTATATTCAAATTTTACTAGATACTACATGGTCTTTTTAAAGGGGTTGTAACCAACTTACCCTCTGGCCAGTAAAGACTCAGAGTTTCCACTGTACCACATCCTCACCAACACTGGAATAGCAAGCTTTTCAAGTTTTGCCATTTTAGTAGAGATGCAGTGGTATCTCACTGTAATCCTAATTTGCCTTTCCCTAGGTAGCAATGCAAAATGCAATCGAACACCTTTTCATAAGTTTATTGGCCATCTGGATTTCCCCTTTTGTGAAGTGCCTACTTAGGTCTTTTTGCTTATTTCGATACAGGGTTGTTTCTTTATCCCTATTGATTTCTGTAGTTCTTCATTCTGGAAACATGCCCCTTGTTGGGTGGTTGTGTTATAAATATATCTTTTTTGCAATCTGGATTGCTTTTGTCACTCTCTTAATGGCGTCTTTTTGATTAATGAGGAGTTCTTAACTTTAATGTAATAAAATTGATCAATCTTTTCCTATAAAAGTAGACACAACTTTTGTGTCTATTTAAAAACTTTCTCTCTGTCCACTCTCTTACAGTGATCTCTCTTGTCTCAGCGCTTGGGTGGAGTACATCTCAACCATACGCGGTATGAGAGAGCAAGATAACAAGGGAGACAGTATGAGCTGCAGAGGCGGACAGATCTGAGTGGCCCCAGACAGGTTACTTTACCCTTCAGAGCATCAGTTTCTTTTATCTACAATCAAAGATACACTATCCACCTTGCAAAACATGTCTAAAGCACCTACCACGGTGTTGGCACATAGGAAGCCCTTAGTAAACAGGCACAGTCGTGACTGCATCCTCTGAACATCCTCGTCCACAACTGCCTGAACCTAACAGCTGCTTTGTGAACCGTCAATCTACTGCATTCAAGGACAGCAAAATGGATTGACTGCCCTCAGCAGGCCAGCCAAGCCTCCCTGTTACTCACAAGCAGCACCCACCATTACGAGAACCACCAGCTTCAACTAAAAATGCAGGCTTGATGCCCAGAGGTGCTCTTCTCACACAGTAAAGCCATCCTGGGGCTCCCACACCAACGTAATGGCAGCAAGTTGAAGACTCGAAGTGACGTCTCTTTCTGCTCACCGCCAACAGCACAGTGATGTGGAGCAGGGAGACTGCCTCCGACCTGAGAGAGCCAAGCTCCATCAAGCCGGAGGGATTTGGTGTCCAAGGAGTGGGCATGTCAGTCTGTGTGTCCTGTGCTGAGACACGGGGAAGAGAGGGCATCTGTGGCCCGGCACATGGGTTGGTACAAGTGCACAGTAAGTGCGCATCCTGGGGCAGGGGTGTATTTGAGTATATGGGGCGTGTGTGCAAACATGCAACAGTGCGTGTTCTCAGGAAGCTGTCATACTCTCATCAGCCTGACACTTTGCTGGAGAGCCCTGATGATTATCTTCTCTAGCATCCCCAGAGTTTGGGGTCTCTCAATGCCCTCTGCCCCACTCTCTGGGCCAGGATATGTGCTCAGAAAACACATACCCTTTATATGAGCCTGGAACACTCTGAATGAGGAGGGAGCATCTACCCAAACTCCTCCAGTGCCCACTTTTAAAGCAACTGGCAAAGTCTTCTGGATGTTGCACCCCCTTTCTAGGCCATGAGTCCCCAGAAAAGCTTCTGAAGACTTTCCCACCATTCTGAGATATTCCACTGCCCTCCCCAGATACTCCCCCCCCGCAACCTCACCAGGCTCCACTTCAAATGTGGCCAAGTGCTGAGCACTGAAAGGATAGAGAGGGAGGGATTGGTACCTGAGCCTAGTGTTTGTCCAGCGGAGTCAAAGGAAAGAACCACTGAATCTGCAACACAAGAGGACAAGTTCATTTCTTTCTCCTTCTTAGAGTAAAAAAAACAAAAACAAAAAACAAGCTCCCACCAACTCTGCCCAAACCCTCCCCCAAGGGAAATTCAACTGGATTGGAACACTCAGCTGCACAGACAACATCCACAGGTCTGTGCCCACCTGCCCACTGGGCCAAGGAGGCCCTGCCGAGCCTAGCCCCGAGCCTTCTGCCACCGGGAAGAACATCGCAGGGCAGAGACAGGCCCCAAATTTTTCAGAGGCATTTCCTGCCAAATTAGGGGACATGCTTTTTTCCCCCCTTCTTAAAATGAAAATAAAATTAAAGCAATACAACGGAAAACTTCTCTCCTGCATCTGGTTAAAGGCACTAATATTTCCCTTTGACTTCTCCCTTTCTTTTCCTATTCATATACCCAACTGTTTATTATTTCTTCTCCCAAAGGGCTTAAAGTGGCCTACAGGAATTTACAGTACACACTGGAACTTAAAAATGAAGAAGTCAAGAAAGGAAGTATATAGTCAGGGGAATGTTAGTACACAAAATGCATGCCATGAGAACCAGAGGTAGAATCAAGAAGGCCGGAGCTCCCAAACTGCCAAAGGAAAGGAGAAAATGAACAGTTCCAAGATTTAGTGCCCACGGTACATTCACTCATTCAACCATTCAGTAAATATTTATTGGGCATGATATTATACTATAACTTTGAGATATAGCAGCAAACAAAAAAGCACGGTCTCCTCACGGATCTCCCTGCCATCAGTCTAAGAGACAAAAAAAGTTACCAAACAACAAAGCATCCAACTAAAAACTGACTAAGTAAAAAAGAGTGCTGTGAACATTCCCATTAAGAACCAGACCAAGGGGGCACCTGGATGGCTCCGTCAGTGAAGCATCCGACTCTTGATCTCAGCTCAGATCTCGATCTCGGGGTCATGAGTTCGAGCTCTGCACTGGGCTCCACGCTGGGTGTGTAGCCTACTTAAAAAATAAAAATTAAAAAAAAAAAAAAAGAACCAGACCTAGTTAGGAAGGGGAGTGGGTGTTGGTTAGGGAAGGCTTCCCTAAAGAAGTGACACCTGAACTAAGAGCTGAAGGTAAGCAGGGGTTAAACCTCACAAGAATGGAATGAGTGTTCCAGGCAGAGAGATGGCCATGTGTGGAGACTTGAAGCTCGATGGAGTGGGATGCTTCCGAGTGACTAAAAGACCAAAATATAAAAGCAAATACTAAACAGTCATCAGGAGGAAATTTCTCTTGTGGGTCCCAACAATAAAAGGGGGATGCTGTATGATGTTGTAGACTGTAACTTCTATGGCATTTCTATAATAAGTGAGTGTGAATCTGGTATGGCTATTTCTTCCAACACGAGCTTGTACAAAATGATGGCATAAAGCCAATGTATAGTTCAATAAAAATTATAAGGAACACCAAAATAATTTAAGGCCCAAGACAAGCCTGGATACCCTGGACTCCAAAGGTTCACTCACCACCAAGGAAAGCCCAGCTGGATGCATATAAGACCAGGGTCTACAGCCCCACTCCCACCCCAGCGTTATCCTTCAGATCTCAGGTTGATGTCATTTTCTCTTATTGCACAAGGAAATCCAACCCAAGTTATCTTAACTGTAAGTAACATCTGTCCCCACTGCTGGACTATCAGTTCCATAAAGGCAGATACTGTACCTGCTTGATCCCCTGCTCCATTACCCACAGAATGCCTGGAACTCAATAGCCATTTGCTGAATAACAGTGCCTAGAGAAATGAATGGACCACAGATCCTTTTTTTTTTTTTTTTTTTTTTAAGATTTTATCTATTTATTTGACAGAGAGAGACATAGTGAAAGAGGGAACACAAGCAGGGGGGAGTAGGAGAGGGAGAAGCAGGCTTCCTGCTGAGCAGGGAGCCCGATGAGGGACTCAATCCCAGGACCCCAGGACCATGACTTGAGCTGAAGGCAGACACTTAATGACTGAGCCACCCAGGCGCGCCACAGATCCTTTTTGATAAGGATCCAGAGGCAGATAGTCTGTACTGCCAGTTAAGGGCAGATACATATGCTTTGAAACCCACCAAGGAGATGACAGGGTTGATGTCTTTTTACAAAAATGTAGAAGCCCAGGAAGGACACTTGGCTGATCCGACAGGTAACCATCCTACCTCTGTGAGACAAAACCAATGTCTAACTCTTACAAATTCTACTTTTTTTTTTTTTTTAAGATTTTATTTATTTATTCATGAGAGACGGAGAGAGAGAGGGAGAGAGAGAGAGAAGCAGAGGGAGAAGCAGGCTCCCAAGGAGCAGGGAGCCTGATGCGGAACTCGATCCCAGGACCCTGGGATCATGACCTGAGCCGAAGGCAGACACTTAACCATCTGAGCCACCCAGGCGCCCACAAATTCTACTTCTTTATCAACATTTCACACATCTGTCTTCTCTCAATGCTACTGCCCTTCCAGAAGAGAACTCCTTATTTCTCTCTTTTTTAAAAAGAGCTTTATTGAGGTATAATTTACATACTATAAAATTCACTCATTTTAAATGTACAATTCAATGACTTTTTTAGAGAATTTACAGAGCTGTGCAACTATCACCACATGCAATTTTTTGACATTTCCATCACTCTGAAAAGATCCCTCCATGCCCATTTACAGTCCCGCCCTGTTCCCACCTCCAGCACCAGGCAACCACTGATTCACTTATGTCTCTATCAATTTGCCTTTCTGGACATCTGCCTACCCACTTTTGCTGGGGCTGTTCTATAGCCTCTAACCACGCCCCTGCCTCCCACGTGGCCCGCTTCCATCATCGTTTATACCGCTGACGATGTTTCCGAAAAGTATACCTCACTATGCCTTTGCTCTTGATTAAAATTCTTCAGAGGCTTCCCACAGCCTGTAAGATAAAGTCCAAGCTCTGACATTCCCTCATTTTCTCTCATTTGCCATTTTTAATATATCTCATGTTCCAAATGGGCCAAACTACCTCTATTTCCCCAGAGGTATACACCAGCATGTCTTCACTCATCCGACATACTGTGCTCATTGCCTATTTGCATGTGAAAAATCTCCCACTTTTCCATTAAGATTCCAAACAAGAATCTCCTCTTCTTTTTTCTTTTTTTAAAGGAGGCTCCACGTCCAGTGTGGAGTCCAATGCGGGGCTTGAACTCACGACCTGGAGATCAAGACCTGAGCTGAGATCAAGAGTCAGGACACTCAACCAACCGAGCCACCCAGGCGCCCCAGTCATCCCTTCTTCCTGACGCCTTCTCTGGCCAGTTCTGCTCACCCTCTTCTTTAGGACATCACTATACTATTATTATGTTATTTCTCATAATGTTTGGTTACTTCTTTTTCTCTTATTAAGCATCTGAAGTTCCCTGAGGATAAGAAACGTGTATTCATTCTGAGGTGGTGATGTCTCACTCAGTGACTGACACACAGACAGTGGTCAATGTGTTTCTTCAACAAAGGAATAAACCAGTAAATGTCCTTGCTTGCTTTCAAAGGTGATGTGATCTAAGTGGTATTTCAGAAGCTGGGGGGGAAAAAATCCATTCTGCATATAGATTCTCATTCGATTTAAGTCAACCTAACTGTCCCTTGACAGTGAAGCTTCAGGGGTTCAGGTGTGGCCTCCTCCTAGGAAAATAAAGGCATGTACACAAATCAGCATAAGGGGAATAAGAAAAGTGGTCTCGAAGCTTCTAGGTTAGAGGCTGCCACCACCTGGAGAAGATTAGGACCGGCTTCCTGAGGAGCTGACTGCCCAAACGAACAACAATAAAAATAGCATCTCGATTTTTTATTGCAGTTGACAAGTACCGTCCCAATTGTAATTTACCTTCTTTGTACTCTCAAGCAGTCCTGAAATAATCTCTTTTAAACTTTTCAATATAAACCAAGGAAGAAAGGCTTAAAATTGAGTAAAAGACTGACTAAAACTTAATTGAGCCTAAAAGCAGCAAGATGAAATGCTAACAGTGGCTGTCTCTAGGTGAAAGAATTATAGGTAATGTTTCTACTCTGTGTTTTTGCAAAATTTGTAAGTGAACATGTATTACTTATAGTATCATCATCATAATAATTTTTAAAAAACTAAAATAAAAAAAGAACTCTCTAATCCACCTGTAGGATTTTAACCTCTAACTCACTGGTACCAACGCAAAAGGATGGAAGGTTCTTGATTGCCTTCATTTTTCACTGTACATGCCAAAAAGCTGTTCAGCTTTTTCCTGTAGTTACTGAGGTCATCCTTTCATTTCATGCCATTCAAATATATCTCAGCTACATCAATTCCTGAAAAGACTAGGCTTTTTAAAATTATTATTCTTTTTCCCTTCCCTCTCCCCACCCCCACCCCACCCCACCCCACCCCCCGCCAAATATTATCAAATGCCGATTATGTGCCAGGCCCTGTGCCAGATACTAGAGGCAGGGGGCCGAATAAGAGCCAAGGAAGACAGACAAGTTAATTGACAAATAAAATAAAAATAAAGTGGATAAGCGCACGTAAAGAGTAAGCAGGAAGCAGACGAGCGCCTTACTGGAAGGGAAAAGTCAGGGTCTTCACAGATGTTACTTCCAGTGGTAGTGGACGGCTCCCAAGAGCACGGGTCTATACTGCTGAAGATGCGAGTGACAGGGTGGAAATTTCAGGAGGAAGTCAGTGACATATTCATGTTTTGCATAAGCTTTGATAGATTTTGCTTTGAGCATTAAAGGCACAGACTTGAGAATTAGTTTGGTCATTCGTTATTTGTGTTTATTCTGAAGGATGTAAGGTCATTTTAGTCATAAACCACTGTGACGGCTAAAGCGAAAACTCGGCATTCAACAAATCAAGAAGTTTGTTTTGCAAGAAACAGAGCAAGAATATCCAGGCTTCTCCCTGTCCGGCTAACAAATATGTCATTTTTATTTCGAGCAGCCCAGGCTCCAGCTGTTTCTGGCTCCCAGGCCAGAGGCAGCCATGTGGTGCGCTACACAAGT